TATACATTTAATTTGAAATAAACTGGATCAGGTGACCTCAATAGGAACAAACTTTTTTATTATTATTATTAGTTACACATGACAGTACAATGATCAAACTTTTTGATCAAGAACTTAAAAAAGGCGAGGAAATAAGAGGAGGAAGAAGAAGCTGTCACTGTAAACACACAGAGGTAGAAAATAATTATAGAGCTGCTGGAGTGGAGCAAATGTGAGGAAAAAAAAGAAAAAAAGAAAAAGAGTCACAGGGAAGAATTGAGGCCATTGTTAGAATTTTGTACTCAACTTTGACTAAAATAGTTTATGAGAAAGCAACAGCCACTGAGTACATTCACTGTGAACAAGTCTTCTGACCTCATTTCTGACAGTAGTGTGTACCTGGACCAAAATGAGAGTCCACCTAGCAAGATATTTGATTTGAATATTAGACAACCAAGTTGTTGCCTTGCACCAGGAAGCTGCAAGATTCTTTACATATTCTAATCAGTTTTACTGTCAATGTGACCAAAAGACCTGACAAGGACAATGTAGAGGAGGAAAAGTTTATGTTGGGCCACAGTTTCAGAGGTTCAGTGCATATGCCCAGGGAGGTGAGGCAGAACATCACAGCAGAAGGGCAAGCAAAGGAAAGCAGCTCAGAACATGGCAACCAGGAAGCAGAGAGAGTGCTGAGCTTCCTTCACCAAGGACAAAATATATACTCCAAGGGCACAACCTTCTGACCACACCCTACCAGCCTATAGTTACCATTCAGTTAATCCATATAAATGGATTAACCCACTATTTAAATCATGCCTGTCATAATACAATCATTCCACCTCTGAAATCTAATAATTTCACATTGTCTTACACATGAACTTTGGATGACACCACATATCTGAACTATTAACAGTGTATTTTAAAAATAAAACAAATCCAACCACGTGAATGTGAGATTTGTCAGAATAGGTAGGATCGAGAATTACTCCAATAACTTGATTGAGCATTTCACTGGAAAAACAACATTGCCAATCACAGGTGAAGCAGACAGCAATTAGAGAAGGTTTGATATGGATTTCATGGGAATTAGATGGCTCATCTCTGAATATGTTAAGTAATTGATGCTACTAATAAGTAGAAATAGTATTTGAAATTTCCAGAAAATTTTAGTCTTGTAAACTAGGTGATTTTGAGCATTAAAATGATGTTTATAAACATAGCAATGAGGGAAAAACCCACAGGTAATTTTAAGTTGAGTTCAAACTGTTTGTTCAAAACAAAAGTGTTTTCAGTTGGGCAAATTTATTAATCTTTTATAGGAATTTAGAATTAAATGTATAGGTAAGGAGGCTTCAGTGAAATCTTTGAGAAACAGAACAATACAAACTTTTTAAAAAAAATTCTTCAGAAAAATCACTGATTTCTTTTTTTACAAGACTGGATGGATTGCTAGGCAAAACTATACTTGAAGGAAGGAAAGAAATTTGGCATGTGTTACCTTGGCAATTGTCCAAGTGTATAATTTCAAGTCCCAACTGCAAGGAGAGCACAGCAGTACTTAGCCAATCTATTAATTCATTTAAAAGGAATAATATGGATATATTCACACTATATAACTTATTGTAATGATTAAACTCTTTTAAGTGTGTGGCAAAAACTAACAAGAGTGATGCTTAATGCTTAGGAATATTGAAAAAAATGGTAACAGACTAAATAAAGTCTATTTACATTTTAAGAGTCTCCAGTAAAAGAATCATTGACACATGTAAGGAAGTTGATTGGATTAAATAAATAAGGCCCCAATTCTACCTTGAATAACCATAATGGATGAGATGCTTTGATAGTGACTAGATATATATTTAGTGAGTAACTATCATGTGCTACATACTCAGCACTATCTACTGAGAGAACAGTTGAGGGGAAGACAGCTACCACCCTTACATTAGAGGTCCTCACAACACATTTATTCATTTTATTTCTTACTTATCATTCTGCATATTGTCTTGTTATTGTGAACATATGTAACATGGTTATACTTACTTGCCTAGAGGCAAGGTCCATAATTCAGCCATTTGTTCTATTAAAAAGTTTTGAAAATTTATTAGCTTTGTATATGATTTTATTCTTCAAATAAACTTCAGAGGTAAGTATTGATCATGATTAATAAAGGAGTTCTGAATGATTGCAGGCATCACTCTATCCTATCATCCCTTTATGTATTCATTGGATAAAAAGACCTATAATAAATGAGAAATGATTCATGTTCTTATAAATATGTCTAGTGAAAATTATTTAATAAATATCTGAGTTTATGTGTTTGTCTATATGTATTTGTAAACTTCACAATGTGAATGAAATCATTGAACATTTTATAGAATTAATTTTATTGTTTTCATAGTTTATATGTACATATCTATGAATATACTATTGATATAAATTACAGACAGTTAAGTACATATATTGATACCTGAACTGAGATAAGAAGACATCCTTAATCCTCAATCCTAAATCTAAATTTATTTTATTTTAGAATATATAGCAAATAGATATATCTGTATATATAGAGAGAAAGAGATAACTCAATCTAAGACTGAATATAAAATTATATAAGTCTTTGGTAATTTGTTGAAAGTAAAAAAATGAGAACTCAGTTATCATTACTAATGATCAAAAGATTTATAAGCCAATATTTTTTTTTTACTTATCTGAATATTTAATTATGAAAAAGGACAAAATTATTTATTATTATGTGTTTAGAAATTTTGATTATAGGAAAATCTAGGTGTTTTGTCATAAAATCAGAGTTTTTCAATAACAATTTTACCATATTTTCATTTTCATTCATAGAAGAATGTTTATATGAGTTGTTTTTACATATCTAGGAGTTAAAACATTTGTTGATTTTAATAGATGCTCAATAAATAATTGACAAATGAGCATATAAATGGATAAATAAATGAGTATCCCACATTGGTTCAGTGAAATCAATAGTCTGTGATACTGAAGACAGTTGCCCTAATCCCCACCCAAAACAAAATTTGGAAACAGAATAAGCTATACCTTGTGTGTTCCTTTGGTAGCAAATAATTCTAGAAGAACAAATAATTCTAGAAGAACAAATAATTCTAGAAGAACAATAATTCTAGAAGGATAATTCTAGAAGAACAATTAAGAAAAATTAAACAGGTTAATATAGGCATACATTTTGAATTTCAGGGTTACCAAGAAATCTCACACCTTTACCATACTACCTTCATTGCCAACAAATATTAGTTCGGAGAGTATTTTTGGAAAATTGGTTTGGATTGTCACAATCCTTGAATTGTTAAAAAAAAAAATGTATGTCAAAATAAATGACAAGTAAATGTCGCTTTTAAATTATTTGAGCATAGATAATTAAATCCTTTAATTAAGAATGTCAATTACCAACATCCAATATTAATAAAAACAACTAATGCTGGAAACATTAAAACTAATGTTTAAACAAAATTGTATTTTGAATCATAATATAAAATGCTCATAAGATTCTTTTCCATTGTTAACCAAATTTTTAAAAATGGATCCACTTCTAACATTTTACTGCTTTACAAGTAGTGCAAGTGCCGTAAGAAGTATTCTTTTTAAAATATATTTTTTAGTTGTTAGTGGAGATAATACTTTTATTTTATTTTATTTTTTATCTGGTGCTGAGGGTGGAACCCGAGTGCCTCATGTATGCTAGGCAAGTACTCTACCACCGTGCCATATCCCCAGCCCCAATTTTATTTTTAATGAACTCTTTTTCTAGGGGGTTTAGAGAATTTTTCTTCCTTTCAGTTCAACATATAAAACTTTTTTGTTGTTGTTGTTGTTTCTTAAACTTTATATTTTTGGTAGCCATCTTCAGTATATCATTAATGGGCTCTAGAACTTGAGGGAGTGTGCCAAATTAGATCTTACTATATAGTGTGATGTGTATTTGGTCTTAAATGTGGCTATAATTTTAATTAGACCACCTGGCTTGTTTATCTTTCATTATCTTTTCATTATCTTTCATTATTACTATGCAAACCTAAGTATCTGTGGTCAGAGTGATGTGGGGCAACCTGGGAGTTAGAAAATACTAGTGTTCAAAAAGAGTGAAATCACTAATTCTGCACTAAGGACATGTCAATATCATACCTTGACTTACTCCAAAACCATAGCATTTTCACTAATTAACACACAAATCTTTGGTATTGTTTACAGTATACTCAACACGGAACATAACTTTGCTTAGATCCAATAAAGTATTCCACTTATAAATAAATTATGTTGTGGAGCTTGAGAAACAAAGAATCAGTTAGTGGTAACTAAACTCCATGATTCTCAGAAACTTTGGATTGGCACTAACTGCCAATGTATTTATCTAAAAAAATCCTCCCTCCCTTTTCTTTGCTATTGAATCATTCATTGACAGAAAAACAGACTTTGTTACACATAAATGTGTAATGCATTTTTGGAAAGTTGACATAATTGCAACGATGTATCTTAATGGAACATTCAGCATTATTACTGTCATTACTAGCCATTTTCAAAGTCACCATGGGAGGTAAATATATTTTCCATTAAAACATGATTTCAGTCTGAGATCTGTCTGAACTATTATTGCCTATAAACCTCAATAGCACAGATGTCATACAAAAATGAGAAAAATGTTTTATTCCTTTCTCAATTATTTCAGGAAATATGAACAAGATGAAATTATTGCATTGCTTGGTGTTTTTAGTACAAGGATGACAATATTTTAAAGTTGTTTGAATGGTACATTGAAATGATATATAAATTAAAATTTTAATATTAAGATTTTTTTCACATATTATAACACAACAAGACTCACTAGGAGAGATAAATCTTGACTAAGTTATATTAAATTGGTTACCATTTTCAATATTAATACTTTGTCTTCTTACCTGTATTTAATATAATTTTCTACCAAGATATTTAGTTCATGGAAAACTTGTTTTCTTCCTAGGGAGGGAAAAAAGAAGCTGGAGACAAAGTAGTTGTAAAAACTGGTTTATTTTTTTAAAAATAAATACAAAAATATAAATATAAAACATTAGCAGATAGAATTTGATGAAATGAAATTGCACAAATGTTTGTATACCAGGTTGCATATCACACCTACTAACACCACATGTACATTTTTTCTCTTTAAATTTAATGTACAGAACAGGATATATCTTAAAATTTGTCTGCACCTTTTCAAAAGCTTCATTTGCGAGGGCAGAACATGTACCTAACAGAAGCGGCTCATTTCTGAGGTTGCTTAAGGGAGAACTATCCTGTTCATGTTTCTGAATTTTTTTTTTTTTTAATTTACTAAGATGGACAACACTGAATTTCCATAGCTTTGGCTCTTGGAAGTGATTAAATAAAATGTCGCATATATTCTATGAGACATCCTACAGGAAAGAATTAATGCAATTAATGAACAAATTAAGAAATAAATGGGAAAGAATTGTGCTGAGTGGCAGGAAACGTCTCCTGGTTATCAAATATGGAGAAGTGGAGACAGTGTCCTTCACGTCGCTTCCTCCTATTGAGCAGAACAGAAATGCAGGTTAGGAGTCTTTGTCACTGTCCCCACCGCCATACATCTCCGCGAGCTTGTTAAACCTGGGGCCCCACTCCCGGAGGTAATCGTAATTCTGGTCTCCTTCGGTGGTGCCTGACTCCAGGGAGCTCAGCGACTCCGCCACCGAGTCGTTGCCCTCATAGGCGTAGGTGGCCAGGGAGTCGTAGGGTGGCGCGGTGGGGTCCAGGTCGTGCTCCTTGAGCCTCTCGGCGATGAAATCCCGCACATCCGTGTTGTCAGGCGCCGTGGGAGTCCTGCGGGGGATAAAGAGCGCTTCTGGCATGATGTCTCGCCGCAGCTTCTTTTCCTCGATCGCTGCAGGATTCCTCAGCGTGCCAATGTCAAAGGCCTGGGTGTCCTCCTCGCCACCACCTTCGTCATTGTAGCTCACGATGTTGTCCCTGATGTCCTCCTTGGATAAGATCAGGGGTTCCTTCTTCCGCTGTCTCTTTAGAGCTGCAAACAGTACTACTATAACTTGAAAAACAAAAAACAAAAACAAAAAAAAAAACCAAGGAGAGACATAAGAAGCCCATTCAGAATGCTATCAAGCAAGTGGGAGCAGGAAAAGGGAGCATGCGTTATTTAGATTTTTTTTTTACTTCCCCATTTTTTTTCTTGCACGTTCAATTTTTTTTTTTTTTTTTTTTGGTTTGGGGAAGCAGAAAAGGGTTTAGTCAAGGTAGGTGATGTTCAAAAGCGGTGTTTCTGACTTATTGTTAAGGCACTGTGGAATCTTCCTTAAGTACAGTGCATATTTTTTTTTTCTGTTTTTCTAAGAAGTGTTAGTTTGTGTAATAAATAGTAAGATAGATGTCATACAAACATTAGAAAAGTTGAACTAAGCTTCATGTAAGATCCAAGTGGCTAAAATATTCATTTTAGCATTTTCACATCCTTACCATTCTTAATAAGGTATAGGATATTGATTCTGTTAAATAACTGTGTTGATTGATTTATATAGCTTTGTGTCTTACATTATTAAAAGAAGGCCTACATTATAGGAAATAAGACCCAGATGTTTAGACATAACATGGGTTTAGAGGTTTATGATGCTTTCCTTAGAAATATATATCTTGTAAGAGAACTTCCCCAAATTGTTAGATGAAAGTACAACAAGTATATTCAAGTCACTACACTGGATTAACTCCAAATCAATGCATGGACCTTGGCCAGATACATTTTTATTTATTGTATCAAGATATTATATGTTCTGTTTCCTTATTTATTAACATGGAATTCTCAGACTATTGGTCTTCAAATCTGTGACAGGGCAAAAAAGAAACTCTTCTAATTCTACCAAAAGGAGTTTTAATCCACTGCTAAGTAATCTTGGCCTTAAAATTATATATAAAAAAATAGCCCTTGAAGAAGACAGAAAGCTGTTTATTATTCAGCTCTTTGGGAAAAATTAATTTTATTTTGCTTAAACTCATGTATTCATGCACCCATAAAATGTATGAAGTAAAGTTTTGAAACTCAGATTGATTATTATGAACAAAATGATTTTACTGAGTTAAAAAGCTTCTAATAATAAAAATTTAGTAATATTGATTCCAAGTCCAAGTTCATTTCCTTGCTTCTTGGAATGTCAGATATAGTGTTTTCAATAAGGTCAGAGGGATACCCAAAACAATAGTTTGAAGCTAATGCATCTGGAGAATAAATTTAATCTCATTCTTAACTCAAAAGCAGTTAAAAAGCAATTTACTCTAGGTTATAAAATCAAGAATCATTATTTTAGAGACAAGTAAATCAAATAAAGGGAGAGTTTTGACATTTTTTCAGTGAACACATAGACAGTGAGGCCTCAACCCAGCCATTATGAGAAAAACACATGGACAAAAACTCCAAATTTCACTGGAAAATTGTACACACAATCACCAAAAAGCAAGGTGCTTTGGTTCAAAGTCTCACAAATTGATGGCCTTGGAGAATACTTTAAATATTTCGAACATTCATTTTTATTGTCTATAAAGTGAAGATAACCATACATACTGCATACATTGTTTCATCAAATGAAAGATAAAAGTGTTTTTCATTATATTGTTGTTTACACTGTTTGATAAAATCAACTCAATAAAAGCTTGCTACTCTTGATGTTATTCTTACTGGAGATTTTATATTTAATACATATTTCAGCAGAATGACTGAATATAATTTACATATAAATTATAAAGTCCTCAAATAAATAGATTATTCATATTTGAACTTTTTGATTTAATTAGTATAAAGTCTGCTTCTTGACTTCTCTTAGTATGTTTAGGAATACAGAAAAGTCAAATTATAAAAATAAACTTTTATCAATTCTCCCATATTCTGTTAAGTGAAATCATTTATTATTTTTGTTATATATGAAAATACCTTATAACTAAATATAAAAAAACTTATTTATTTATTTATGTTTTGGCATCGGGGAGTGGGCCTAAGGATGCTTTTTATCACTGAGTTACATCCCCAATCCTTTTCCTTTTCTATTTTGAGACAGGCTCTCACTAAGTTGCCAAGCTTCTCTTTAAATTGCTTAGACTGTCCTGGAATTGTGATTTTATGCTCAACCTTCTTAATTGTTGGGATTATAGGAATGCACCACCATTCCAGTCAATAATACATATTTTTAAATGTGCACATTTTCATTTCCTAAACTACATGTAAATCTAATGTAAAGTCTAATGTGGTGGTACACACCTATAATCCCAGTAAGACACTCGGAGACTTAGTGAGAACCTGTCTGGGGGAGGTGGGGAGAAGTGGGGGATGCGGGGGATGGATCTCATTGTTAGAACACTCCTGGCATCAATTGCCAGTAAAAAACAAAACTAAAAAAAAAAAAAAAAAAAAAAAAGAAAGTTATGTAGAATTGATCATTCCATTAATTTAGTGATTTATTTCATATGTATAATTTACCTTTGAGATATTTAATCACAGAGCTCTTGTATATACTATGAAAAAAAGGAAAAAAATGAATCTTCTACGAAGGATTAGCTATATTACGGAATTTACACATATTTTTAATATTCTTTGTGGTTGCAATGTCTTTGTTATTGGTCCTAACTTCACATAAAAAGGTGCTGTCTTTTTATAACAGTAAAAACTGTTACAATAAATTACTGTAAAGATTATTTTAGAATTTGAAATGAAGGCTTAATTATTAAATTAGCTTTAATGTAAGTATGAAAATTTGATAATAAGTATAGTTATACTGGTGAGAAGTCCTATACTAGATCAAATTTGTGAATTGTGTTTCTAACAGAATGTATCTTAAACCTTATCATTGTTGTTTTACTCCTACTGAGATTTGCTGATATCTAACTTTCAGAGTTGAGGTTAAAATCTTATCATACTCTTCCAGCTTCTACCCTCCTCCTGAATTAGAGTTTGGCAGATGATCCAAAATGAAACAACACCATAGAGTTACTACAGGGCTCAGGAGAGCAGTGACGGGCCAGCTATAAACTAATTGGAGGTACCAATCATTGATGTTTTTTTTCAAGAATTGCTATCACCTATCTCTCAACTTTCTAAAATCTAACAAAGCTATTCTGCCCTCAACCCTTCTTTTTTTTTGTCATTACTTATTTCATATATTGTAATGACAGTATTAAAGCTGCATTTTTTACATTTTGATTCACATCTGAATGATGAAAAGTCTCACTGCTTCTAAATTCTGGCTGGATATCCTAAAACTTTGGTGTAAGTTTGGGCAAGGGACCATTCTGATAGCAATATTCCTTGTTTAAAATCATACTACAGTAAGCATCCTAGAAGATGATTCAATTTTCTTTAAAGTTTCTTACCCAGCAGAATAATGATGCAGAGGAGAATGGCGATCAAGGCCCCAGTGCTGAGACCAGCAGGGAGGAGCAGGGCTTCTGCATTGCAGGACTGCATGTTGCCTTGGCTATCACAGGCACATACTCTGATGGTCAGTGTGCCTGTACTGCTCTGAATTGGGTAATCATTGTCTGAGATCACCACAGGCAAGAGATAGGTACTTATTTCATGTCTATTGAATCCATTTTTTCGAGTTAAAATTCTGGCAGTGTTATCTAAAATAAATTTTAAAACATTACAAATGTTTGTTTCATATAGTAAACTGATAACTCATGGTGATAGCCAGGATTGTATATATAAATAAAACTCTCTTCATAAAAATATAAAACCATTATAAAGTTTTATATTACATATGTACAATGCCATTAAACAAGACAAATAAGATAGTTCAAAGAATCTAACATTATGGATTGATTATTAACTAGCTTTTCAAAAATTATCCCATAGTATTTTCAAAATGGTGAGTTTGTATAAGTAAATATCAAGTTTACATAGATAAGAAGTTTTTTTTACTGTTTTCTAAAAATCTTCTTTGTAAACCAAAAGAAAATATTATTTTCTTTCATTTGTTCATTTACACAAATACAGCATATCTCAATCCAATATTCTGAAAAAAATAGGATTGGATACATTGTAAGCATTGTTACATTGTTTAAAGCAATAAAATAGTCAAAATCCATGAAGAATCTCAATACATACCCAGCAGCATGCAAATTATTTAACATTTTTGAGCATTGATTTCCACTAATTCAAACAAACACATAACTTAAAGCATGTATATAACTGAAAGTAATAACAGAAAGCCTGAGCTAACTCTTAGAAGTGCCTAATAAAGTTCCAGACTGAAGTAAAGATTTAATAAAGACAAATATCCCACTACCTAGCATATTATACTACTGACTTTTTCTTTACCTGGTAATTCACCTAGTATTCTCACATGGAATTTGTGGAGTTAAAAAGAAAAAAGACTTCTATCCCCAAACAAGTAGTATTTAAAAAATAATTGGTATGATAGTTTCTATCCTGGTTGTTTGCCAGAGAAGTTAGTTTTGTTTAGTCAATCCTGCAGAGTTGTTTAAAATGCCAATATAGGGAGGGAGTTAGTGAGCTGCTAAATCAAACAAACAGGAGAGAAAAAAAAATAGTGGTAATCTGTTGTAGGTACAGTGGTTGAATACAAAATAATCTATTCCTTAATTATGAGTTGGAACTTAATGATACCAGTTAACTACATAAGCTGGGAAAGTAGACTAACAAAAAAACATGCACATAAACAAATTTTAAAATTTATCTTTCAATAACTATTTTT